ATGTGGACTTCTTTCTATCGTCTGAAAAATGGAGTGCATAAAAATTTAATATGATAATGCAGAGAATCGTTTAGTTTTAAAAATGTTACCCGTTTGTTTGCATGATCGCAGATGCGATGTACAGTTGGAACAGCTTCTAATTACTAACATGGCAGTGATTTTTGATAGAGTATATTGTGAAATCTATAAATACCTCTATGGTATCTCCATTAAATTTATGTTCATTTTAGTTTGTTACATGTAATAGGAGAATTTTTTAATGACCTTTGTAAAGGAGTTAATGTACGAAGAAACGAAGTGACTTTCGTTACCGATTCTCTTTTCAGAATCAATCTAAGCAAGAGCGAAATATTCCTGCCTTCAATAAGGGTCTACAGCACTGCCCGGTCGACGTTCTCAAATAAAGACTCGCGAAGGAAACTAATCGAATTAGCATGCACAATTTTCAGGTCCAGATAAAAATTTTCTCCTACGCGACCTGAAAGGAATTATCAACCACACTAAAAGCGTGAAAAACGCTAACTAACACTTTTAACTGTGCGGGTCGGCTAAACTTCGAGTAGATTAAGAACCTAATGATCAATATTAGTACGAATTTTTTGCTAGAGAAAAGAAAAAGAACTTAGTTGATGGTATAAAGCGTTATAAATTTAAGTTTAAGAATGTGTGTAGAATTGACAGGTTAATATTCAGTATTCTCGCCTCAAGTTAGAATTAGCTCTTCTCGATTTAAAAAAAAATGTCATTTCATGCACAAAACATTGTCAGTCAATACTCCGACATGCACCATCTGTTGGAGAAAAAAGCAATATGCAAATCACTGAGCATATATTGGATTATATAATAGGGCTTTTTTTTTTTTTTTCTAGACAGGAATCAACGATGCTAGGTGTAGTCAATGCGGTATTACCTTCACGTCTGAGAATTTGCCTGGCCAGATATGACCTCTCAGATAAAGAGCTGCCCGTCACTGTCTAGTGTCACTCACCTCTTTAGCTAATAACACCGAACTTAGCGTTCCATTATTGAAATGCTGGCAAAGTTTACTCATTGCAAGTATAAATAAGCAAAGGCAACGGGCTCATGCCATGTTATTGGAATAATTTTTTTTTGCGCCCTTTTGCGCTCGAAATACAATAGTCCAAATTGAAGCGTATGAAAAAGCATGTAAGTGACAAAATATAAAAGTTTCTCGTTTCCGTTGTTCGAGGCGCTTCGCTGGGTCAGAATCAAGCTTTACCAGAATACGGCATAGACGAAGACTCGATGCCATTTGCAACTGGTTGTCTGAACCGTTACGACAGCAAAAATGAATTCATACCACTAGAGGTCTGTTGTCAGTGCCTATTTGGTTTATTGCGTTTTCCATGAAACTGTAACGTTAGTAAGAATTGATCAGTTGCTATAGATGAAGATAGAAAGAAGATTTAAATAGTCATAGGATACTGCTAAACACATAATTCAATGAAGAATCTGGTGACTTACCGTATTAATCGTAGCAATCATATTAGATTGGGATATGGTAGGTTCACCCATAGCCGAAGCCCGATAATTCGTTATAGTATTAGGACACGTATAACGTCAACGACAATTTTTATCGTAAAACCCTCTCTAATGTAATGAACTCTTTCTTTCTCC